CAGTTTTTCCTGCGGGGGATGGTGTTTACCAACAGGATAATGCACCATGTCATAAGGGTCGAATCGTCATGGATTGGTTCGAGGAAAATTCCAGTGACTTTCAAGTCATGTCTTGGCCCCCAAATTCACCTGACCTTAATCCAGTAGAGCATTTGTGGTCCTACTTGGAAAACTAAATTCGTGCTGCTACGCTACCCCCTCGCAATGTGAGGAAATTGCAGGACCAGTTGGTGAGCGCTTGATACCAGATACCTCAGACTACCTATCAGCACCTTGTGGAATCAATGCCACGGCGGGTGCTAGCAGTTTTGAGGGTTAAAGGTGGTCCTACTTGTTATTAGCAGGGTGTCGTTATGTAATGGCTCTGCGATGTATATATCAGGGATCTGTCCAGACATTTTGTGAAAGGTCCATTTTTATAAAATTGTGAAAAAATTACTCGTAATTTGTAAATATAAAATAAACGTTAGGTCGCATTCTTTCAACCAGGTTCCGCTTTTGTGAATTTGTACAAATAGGGTCCGTTATTGCAAAAAAAAACTTTTTCAAGGAGTTTTTAAATTGTAAAGACATACTAGATCTTGCTCAACACTGTGAAATTATAATTAAAAAAATTTAATTTTAAAAAATAAACAGCAATTGCAGCTACTAAATTAGCGATGCAACATATGAATATTTGGTATTTAGCCTATACTGCTGAACGCAGAATATTAATTTCGGATGAATAAAGGAAAAAGCGTCTGCCGAAGACAAAATTTAGTTGGCTTACATCTGTCTTTCTCCCCCCCCCCTTCCTGGGAAGGGTTTATTCGATTAACAAAACAATAATGAAGATAAAAAAATTTATGAAGGGTCCGATTAAAAGATAAATTATTTTGTGAAGGGTTCGTTATTAAGTTAAAATATTTTATGAAGGGTCCGTTTTTATGAAAAGATATTTTGTGAAGGGTCCGTTAACAATGAAAATTGAAACGATGAACGATAAAATGAAAATTTTAAAACAGATCCTCTGAGATTCTGACCTCGTTGGGAACTTCAAAAACTTTGCCGAATTTCGAGACTCGATTTTTCCCTCTTTTTATTTTCTCTGTAGCCTACTCTATCTGAAATTATTCAATATTTGTAAATGTTTGTTTTCTTTCTCAAAAAAAAACTTTTGCTAATTAGGACTGCATCTCAAAGAGAGAATCAACGATGAAATTAAATGTCATAGTGAAGATGATCCTCGATTTCAGCTGATGATCGTCCACCCGTTTGATTGTTCCAAGTATTTTCTATGCAGGGATGGTGTTGCTCTACTAGAGGTTTGTCCAATGGGCTTGCATTTTAACGACGCTCTCCAATTATGTGATTATCCCGAAAAAGTTAACTGTGGTAAGTTAGTCTAAATAAAGCTTGTTTTTCTCTATGAATTTTAGCTGTGTAAAAACATATACACAAGGTGTGTTCATTAAGTAATGAGACTGATATATTTTTCATTCGAATTACATATTACAACAAATTACAATTCAATATTGCTTCCTTTAAAATAGTACTCTTGGGAAACTATATGGAGTCGATGATGGTTCTTCCGCTCTTAATAACACTACTAGAATAATCTTTATCGGGTTGGTGACATTTTAAGTAATTTCCAGTGTCCCAAAATGGCGTCCCTTGAAATGAATTTTCAATTTCGAGAAGAGGAATAAAAAGACTCGAGTCAGGTGAGTAAAGAGGTCGGATAATCCTAGAAATGAGTTTATTACCCATTTATTGTCACGATTTGCTGTTTGATCTCACAGTCATGATCCTTTTCTGTAGTTCTAATTCATTTTATTTCTCGAAATACGATAAAAAATTCGTCCCGCAGTGGACTGATCGTTAAGTCACGGTTCCCAGCAGATCACCGAAGTCAAGCATCACTGGCTGCGGTCAGTGTGCGGGTGGTTGACCACTTGGATCAGCCTGCGTAGGGACCGAGTGTGTGCGGTATGGGTCCTCGTTAAACTGTTCTACCGTAAAGTGCTCGACTTCACGTGCAGGTCGCCGGCGTACCGAAGCGGGGGTGCCATCCCCTCTGCAGAGGATCAAAATTGCGATGGCATGTCTTCGGATCGTCCTCAGGGATGTTTCCCAGACCGTCGCCAATAGCCAGTTGTTCAGCTCTAGTGCGACGTAAATGAACAAGAACAACAACAACAACGATAAAAAAATTCAATTGTTCTCCGTGCATTACAACCGCAATCAATGATCTGAAAACTCAAAACATTTATTAAACATTTTAATTGGTTCATGCAGTTGAAGTGCTGCAAGATTTATCGTCCATCGACTCTCTTCTTTCTGAAAATGCCATCAAAAAACTATTCACTGTGTCTCCGTAGACCTGCTGGAGTTTTTCAAAAGTTTTAATGAACCCTATCAGAATCAAAAATTGACAGCTTACCGTTCTTCCATATTAATGTCACTCATTTTTTGAACGAACGAAAAAAAAATTTCACAAGAAAAATGACTGCTGAGAGTTACCAAGGTAGCAGAGAAACGTCAATTTTACGTCAAAATACGTATATTTCACCATTAAATTTTACGAAGTGTTCGTAAAATTTACGAAAAACTGAAACGTCGAATTATAGCAAAAAATGGTTATCCAAAAAGCGTAAAATTTTATGTAAACAAATTCGTTTCTTTTACGAATATTTTACCAAACACTTTTTACTAGGTAAGAATGAGTACTTTATTTTTACATATTATTTACATCAACAGTATGTAAAAATGTACGTAAGTTGAAACGGCACATTTAAAAAAAAAAAAGTGGTTTTTCAAAAAACAGGAAATTTGTGTAAACAAATTCGAACCGAAATTTAAATGATAAATTTGCTTCGTCCATAATGCATAAAATACTCAGAACCATTTTTACTAAATCTAAATAGTAAATATTCTTACATCAATCTTTCGTCGTTGTTGTTTCCCATCCCCACTGGTCTAGCTCCGCTAGACCAGGTCCATGAGTCCATTCACCCTCAGGAAATAAAAAAGCAAGACCGGGTAGCGCAGAAAATCCTCCTTTTCAAAATCCACGCAGCTAAGGAGGTGGGCCGGGCTGGCTGCATTGGAGAAACATTTGTTGCCGGTGGGATAGACCTTTCGCTGCTATTCATACCTCATGCACTTTATGTGACCATTGATGAATCTAGTGAACGCGGTCTGATCGCCTCTATTACCTCTGAAGGGCAAAGCACGACCCGGCTTATCCCCAGAGTGCCAGATATGTACTGGGGGAGTATTCCAGTACTAGCTGGACACCTTTCTTTCTAATGGAGTGAATTTCCGAGGTTGTGAGTGCCAAACTTTCCGGCAGAAGCTCATTTGTGCCAAGTTTTGCCAGCGAGTCAGAGATCTCATTCCCGTATATATAGACCAACGTGGGACGGAGTCCACTGCAAATAAATATCCCGCTTCACGGAAAGTTTACTGAGCAGTTGTAGAATTGCCGTACCACCCCTATCGCCCACTCTGGGGCATGCACTTAAATATTGGATAGAGCTTCTACTATCCATTAGGATCCAGATAGGGTCTAGCAGCGAATCCTCTTCAATCGCGTGCAGTCTTGCCTCAATAGCAAGGAGCTCCGATCGGAAAACAGAACAAGAATCCGGGTTTCTCATTTTAATGTTGATATCGCCATCAAGTCTCTTGATGTCGACTCCACTTCCAGTACGACTCAGGTCGTCCCTGCTACCATTTGTATAAACGCAAAGGCCCTCCACTAGGATGTTGTTAATTATTTGAGAGCCAGTTGTAGCAATTCAGGAACGTCTGAAGTTTTATTTGTGCTTAATGCCAAATCCAGACTAAAGTGTACTCTTGGAAACCCACGTGAGGGGTCAACGCAAGTCTTAAGGGAATGTTGTTCGACATCCTGGTAGACTGTATTTAGGGAAATTGCACGTGGAAAAGGGCTATCTCTTCCTAGTCTCTGATTATTGGTCCAGTATAGGAGGTAGTCAGTTGTTCTGTGCTGGGCACCATAACTAAGTAGTTTGCTAAAATATTTCACTAGACAATTCTCTCTTCTCATATTTAATAACAGAAGGTCTGCTTCAAATAACACAATTTCACCAGGGCAGGAATGTCGCAAACCTATAATTATGCGTCCCGCACTCTGNTTGTATAAACGCAGAGGCCCTCCACTAGGATGTTGTTAATTATTTGAGAGCCAGTTGTTGTAGCAATTCAGTAACGTCTGAAGTTTTATTTGTGCTTAATGCCAAATCCAGACTGAAGTGTACTCTTGGAAACCCACGTGAGGGGTCAACGCAAGTCTTAAGGGAATGTTGTTCGACATCCTGGTAGACTGTATTTAGGGAAATTGCACATGAAAAAGGGTTATCTCTTCCTAGTCTCTGATTATTGGTCCAGTATAGGAGGTAGTCAGTTGTTCTGTGCTGGGCACCATAACTAAGTAGTTTGCTAAAATATTTCACTAGACAATTCTCTCTTCTCATATTTAATAACAGAAGGTCTGCTTCAAATAACACAATTTCACCAGGGCAGGAATGTCGCAAACCTATAATTATGCGTCCCGCACTCTGCTGAACTCGATCAAGTCTTCGAAGATTGGAGGCTGACGCACAAGAATAAATTTATTGACCATACTCTAATATAGGTCACCGATGTATGTTGTCCTTAGCGTGGTCGTGTCTGCACCCCAGTCACGGCCAGAGATGTTTTTAAGGATGTTCAGTCGCTTTCTACTCTTGGCCACCAGGGCCTCAATATGTTTGTTGCAAGTAAATTCTGTGTCCAGTACAAAACCCAGATATCTAGGGAGCTTTTCATAAGTGAGAGGAATACCTCTCAGAGATATCTGGGGATAATAGTTATAAATATGCTTATTGGTGGTGAAAAAGCTTGTCACTGATTTGGAAACATTGAATGTTAGTTTATGTTCTGCAACAAAATCCTGGACTCTTGCAAGTGAATCTTTCGTAAAATATACGATAGCATTCTTACCGAAGGGTAGTTGGTAGGAACATTATTTACGTCGCACTAGAGCTGCCCAATGGGCTATCAGCGACGTTCTGGGAAACATCCCTGAAGGATGAGCCGAAGACATGCTATCGCCATTTTGAGCCTCTGCAGAGGGGATGGCTCCCTTGCCTTGTAGCCCGATGACCTGCGTGCGAAGTCGAGCACTTTACGGTATAGAACAGTTTAACGAGGACCCATACCGCACACCGGTTCCTACGCAGGCGGATCAAAGTGGTCACCCACCCGCTTACTGACCTCAGCCAGTCATGCTTGACTTCGGTGTTCTACTGGGAATCGTGTCCTTACGATCAGTTCACTGCGGGAAGGGTAGTTGGTAAAATCCATTCCGTTAATAATGCATAAAATATATCAGAGCTTTTTTTTACCAAATATCTCTATCATTCCGTCAATATTGCGTAAAATTTACTCATAAAGTGTATTGACTTTACCAATTTTTCAGAAATTTACGCATCATGTTACATGGGTACCAAACTCTCGTTTGTTCTGAACATGAGTCCTCTACTACCTTTCCAAGTTTGGTGAATCTGTATCGAACGTTACGTCTTTATTTAATTTAAACACCTCTTTTATACCTTATTTTAAAATTTCTCTACATTTATTAAATTTTTGTGTATTAAATGTATGAGAAAGTTGCGTGATTGGGGAAAATTTTAAATATCTTGAATTTCCTTGAACAACAGCATGATACAGTTCAGCTTTTAATCTTTATTTGGATGAAATGCTTTGATGCTTAGTCGAACCCACTGGAAAAGACAACAAATAACGAAAGTACATTGGAATCATTTTAGCTTTATTATGTGTGTCAGTCTTACAATTTTGAGCATGATTTTGTATTGCTGTTTATTTGCCCCGTACGAAAAACAAATACAAGTGTGAAGTAATTGTTGAAAGTTTCCAACTGACATTTTAATGTGTGATGAATGAATGGGCGGCCTCAAAGTTTATGTGTTCACAATAGGAAATGAAAATGATGCTTCATTTCTTGCCCAATTAGCGAAAGCTCAAATCTTTGTCATTCATTTAAACTCTTTGCCTCACAGCGTTTGCAGTTTGACGTTTTAATTTGTTGCTAAAAAGAAATTTTCTAAGGTATAGTTCGTTCACCAGCAGTTGGAACTTAGCACGTAAAGATTACGAAATAAATATTTTTGTCATACGATTGCCAAATAGCAGCCTTGTTCAGGATTGTTCACATCCTTCTCCCAAAAATAGCGAAATAGTATTGTCGGCGGATACTACGTGATGAAGGCGGAGCCAAGTGCCAACTCCTAGTGAACGAACTATAACTCGTTGGATATTTGTTGACAAATGCACTTTTGATTGACTAAAGAGAACAACAACGCGAATAAAACACAAATCAAGTACAGAAATGAACCTTTTCCGTACTTGAATAGTATTTTATTCACGCCGTTTTTCAATCTAGTCTAGGTTGTACAAAGTATAACCTATGCTTTTGGTACCTTCATTTACTCCGAGAGCACTCAAAAATTGTCACTTCTCTGAGATCTGCGAAATTTAAAGTTTTGCTAAAATAAAACACTGTTGTATTGTTGAATAAGAACCAAAAAATAAGTTTTTCCCATTGAAATTTCAATTTCTTTTCTTCAAAAATGTCACTTGATACTTTCTTCCATTAATATCTTTAATTGATTATAAGTAAAAAACCTAATTAATTAACTAGAATAATGAAATGGTAAATATTTAGTTTGAGAATCAAATCATTTTATATTTAAAATTGAAGTTTGAAATTGTCTGACGCTAGTTATTACAGTTTAGTTATGCTCAGGTATAAGAAAAGTTTTTAAAAAAATTGTTTTCATTTGCTTTAGATCGTGATCAAGGAATCGTTGAATGCTCAGCTGAAGATGGGACACACCATCTGCCTCATCCATCAAATTGTGAGAAATTTTATAGCTGTCATAATGGGATTCCACATCTTAAAAACTGTCTCCTCGGATTACATTTCAACGCAAGGCTGCAAGTCTGTGATTATCCCTATAGAGCAGGATGTGGCAAAAGTGTGTTGCATTATTTAATTTAAATTTATGTTTGTTAATTTATGTCACTGAAGCCAATACCTCCTAGATGGAAGAAAGCCGAAGGACGCAAAACGAAGACTCATACAGTTAGGCCCAGATTTGCTGATCACTTCTGACGAAGCTTCTCTTTTTCCCTTCTGTTTCTCGACACTTTTTCGTTACTCTTCTACTAATTTTTTACTTTCTACAAATTATTATTATTTTTTTTTTGTCTAGATTAAATGTTCTAAAATTGTGTAAAAATGCTTAATATATTTATTTGTTTTCAGAAATGATTAACAATAAATCAATTCTAACAAAAATAACTGTTGTGTGAATGAAAAAAAATATATTTTTAAGCATTAAATATCAGTTTTATTTTATAAATTGGAAAATTTTATCTAACTTTTTGTTATAAAATGTATGGATTAAAAACAAAGAAATATATTTTTAAAGGGATTTTACACATTTATTATTATTATAGTTTTGACATAAAACTAAGAAAGGGGTCTAATTTTTATAATATGATACTTACATTTTTAGTAGATGATTATTTTGGATTTTAATGATTATGTTTTGCATGTTATTAGAACTAGAGCATACGAAATAAAATAGAAATTGTTTATAAACAATGACATAAAATGAGNCAGTTCAATTTCAAAAATAATTATTGACAGACAAACTAACTCGTCTTCAAGGTATACTTTTGAAGTGAAATGAAAAAATTTTCAAGCTTAAAAAATATTTTCCATATCTGTCATATATTTTATGTAATTTTGAATACAAGCAAACAGTAAAGAAAATTCATCTTCGGTATTTTGTCGGGGACAAAATTTGGAAGTTAAGTATTTTCACCCCATTCCTGGAGAGTGGCAAACTATGAAAAATTTCCCATCCTTTACAAACGGCTACTCGATTTAACTACCATTGAGGGTTCATTGCGAACTTATCTTTTTCATGAATGGTTTCTTATTTGACAGATACGCTCTTACGTTTGACATCTCCCAAAAAGCTTTATTCCTGGCACTTACTCTACTTTGTCTTACTTTTTTTTATGTATATTTTCTTCATGTTGAAAATAAATAATTAATAAACACTTTTAATACACTTGAGTCCGTCGACGTATATAATTTGGGACACTAAGGAGTTATTTTTTCCTGTTAATCACACTATACTTTTCTACGGTGTCCATATATCTAGTGTCTAAGCTGTTAAAACATTAATATGAAATAATATATGTTAATATCTTTATGTTTATATCTTTATTTTTATTTCTTTACTGATATGTTTATATCTTTTCAAAATGCAGTTTCTAAAACTTCCTTTCTGCATTTACTAAAAAAGAACCGCTGATTTGAAAATGTATTTAAAGAACAACGAAAAAATATCAAGCAATGTTTTCAAAATGAACATCAATGACGTAACAACAGTCTGGGGACAGACACACTAGAAATACATTTTAATTGTATTTCTAGTGTGACATTGCGGCTGAAAGCATCGGCCGACACACTTGATATTTAATTTTGAAATAGGGTGAGGTTAAATTTCTGGTTTCTTTAGCAGAAAGCAGCCAATCCTATGTCCTCCTCTCCTTCTACATCGTGTTTTATTACTCCCTAAATAGAATGTTTCCTTTCGTTCATTTTCTGAGACACATTTTAATCCTATTTATTTAATGAACCATTAATTAATGAAAGTTTTTTTTTTCAGTTCGGTTATCAGAATCGCGAGATGAAGTGATTGCAAACGAACTCATTGGGTGCTTAACAGGCAGAGATGGCAAGTTTTTCATTCCAAATCCACATCACTGCTCAGAGTACACTGTCTGTGACAACGGACGACACATCACATTTCATAACAAAAAGTGCTCTTCTGGATTGCATTTCAATGTATTCAACAGAACCTGTGATCTTCCTCACAGAGCTAAATGTACTGCTGAAAGTAAGGGATGCTTCTTTTAAAATATTCCACGTATTGACAAAGGGGTTAATATTTATGTGAGTGTACAAAATGGAACACCTTAATAATTTCGATCTCTCGAGAACGGATATTACGCTTATTCATTATAGAAGGTGGACATGTGAGGTACATTTTCTGAGGAACTGAATTGAATGAGATTAAAGGAGTTACAATGGTTTTCTTCTTAGTAAGTATAAATCAAAATCATTACATTTTGCAACAAAAATTCTTTCAACTTTTAAAATATTACCTCTTTTGACTCATGTTTAGTCTCATTCGATGAAAAGATAATATATATATAGGGAAAAGTACCTCATTTGTCTGTCTAGCAATGTAAGATGTGTAAATAAGTGCAAGTACAAAATTGTTCTTTTTGCATTTAAAACGCTTATAACTTCTAAATTATTAAGTTGAACGTCTTGGAATTCATCTCATTCAATTCAGAAAAATTACACGTTCAGATAGTCTCTAGGTAGCAAGTGTGTTCTGAAGTACATTAAAATGCCTTTGATTCGTAAAAAAATTGGAAATCATATCTCACTTGCTTAGATTACACTATCAGGTGCGTAAATTGGTAAAAGTACACATTTGTACTTGTCGTATATAAAACCCTTATATCTTCTAAACTATTAGTCCAATCATCTCTGGTTTGGATTTATTAAATTAATTCCTATTAAAAAAATATATCGAAGCCAATACCTCACTCGCCTGCCTCGAAGTTTCAATTCCTCCCCCCTCCCCACCTCAAACTACCGCATTTCCCTCAAAATAGAGTAATGCGTACAGAGGAATGTTTTCAAGGATCCTTCATACTCATATAACAAAACTTTCTATGAAAAAAAAAGTCTCGGGTGTAAAATTTTTTCGACGAAAAAGTTTAATTCTAGAGGAATCGAAGCAAAAACGTTTTGAAACTCATATGAAACTCATTTATCCTGAAATATTTCCATGCAAAACTCGTCAGTAGCTCGGTTCTCATCCGACTAATTAAAAATTTAATACCTTGCATATTATTAATATTATTTTTTTAAGTAAGATGAAATTTGAGTAGACATTATTTTTTTGAAATAAATGGTACCTTGATTAATGGAAAATGATGCGAAATTTAGACAATACTATGGTAATTGTGTATTCATAATAACCCTTTGGAATTAATATATACATGCTTTTGTAATGTTTTAGCAAATCAGAAGAAAATTCGCGAATATGGATTTCGAAGAAATGCAGTAATAAAAGTTGTAAAAAAGTTTTCAACTTCATGGGCGCAGATCAATGTAAAATACACTGTCATTTCTAAAGTTTTCAGATAAAACTTTTGCGAACATGTTCTCGAAATTTTATCGAATGGCATCCAAGTTTCTTGTAACGGATGGTCATTTCTTACGATATAAAAATCGTAATTTCAAAAAGTTCATTTTCATAGTAGGGTAAATAATGTATGAATTTTTTAAATGATGCCTTAACGATTACAGTTTATGGTTAAAAAAAAATGAACTTCAAAATAGGTAGTGTCAAAAATTAAGAATTCTGTTGGAACTAAACATGGGCAGTAGGCAAGACTAATTAGGGAAGTTCTGGGTTTTGATAAAAGCTGGAAAAGTCTTGACTTGGGGAGAAAATTGAAATATTCGTCAATGGTTTTCGAGTGAATCACTAATGAAAAAGGGCATCCGAGCTCTTCCATAAATGTTCGGGAGTAGAAATTCGGTTGCTACGAAATATATTATAATAGCAAATAATTTGGGTACTTCAAGAAGAAGAAGACCTCCCATACCCTCACATGCGACCTATGATGTCAGCTAATCTTTATCAGCAAAATGGTGTATTACAGCTGAGCTAAGTTTCTCTACCTAAGTTAGAATGTTAATTAAAGATAAGTTAATTAAATAGAGAATCGTATCGTATATCGAATGAGTTGAAATATAATCCTTTCTCGTCTTTTATTTAACTTAGATTTATAATTTGTTTATGTATTTTATTGTAACCGTGATTTTATTGTTCTGTGTGCGATGCGTAATTAGTTTGTTTATGTTTGAAATGGCTTCGTGCCTCTCTTTGTGTCAAATCTCTGTGTCAATATATAGAGAAAGAATTAAAATCTTTAAGAAAGATTCGTTGTGAAAGAAATTAGAATGTGTCACTTAGGAGAATGGACTCGAGATTGAATGGAAAGGACAGTTGCTAACGTAAACAAATGTCACTTTTCAGCAACCCATCAGGATGGAGATACCCACACTTCGCCACTTACAGGGAATCTCATTGTTAATAAAAAAATTCACTGGGATATATTTTTGGAAGAGTTTTGCTGAATGAAATTCCTTGTTTGTCTGAATCATAAATAAACACAAGTAAATAGAATAAACAGACAATTGGAGAGACTCTAAATCACTTTTCTTGACAAAATTAAGTAACCTTATAAAAAATATACATATTAATGTGTATTTTTAAAATTCTCAACATAAGTGGGGGGGGGATATTTAAAATGGTGGTTTCGAATTGACATTTATTCAAAATAATAATAATAATAATAAAATACGATTCACTACAAAGTGAAGAAAATTGTGATCACAGCAAGACGATCACAGGCAAAATGGTTGTTGTCTAATTTTATTGTGTTTTCATCTTGGACATCTTTAACTGTTAATCCTGAACATAATTTCGCAGACATATTTAAATGCAGTTCAGACACATTCTGTTCTTTCGATGACTGAACTGACAATCGAGATCAATATTAACATTTTCGGATGGGTACAATGGTGTTTAATGGAGATTGTAAGCTGCATCATACATCCGTTTCGGATTCATAAGTTCATACACGAAATATGACTTAAAAGCTTGGCTCTTTTTCGATTTTACATGAATGGTGAATGAATCATTCATATTGTGTGGAAGACAGTCTACAGTCTTGTGCAAGTTATTGGGTACCTTGACAATGGTGTCTTGAGATATTTATCCACTTTTAGATGCACCTGGATAATTTTTTTTTTTAAATTTTCCGCACATGCGCTGTATAAAGCAACTACTTCAATTACTCTTATCTGTCGCAGTTTTTATTATTATTATTTTAATTTTAAAGCAATAATTTCGTTATCAGTTTAAAATTGATTCAAACGCTTTGTGTAATTTTTTTTAAATATTTAAGCTATAGCAAAAGTGGCACTAGACCTAGTATATATTTCGGACATTTACCAAAGGTCTGGTCATACTAGGTCTGGTTAAGTGCCACTGCCCGGTATACCCTACACTGCTGTTTTTTTAAAGTCAAGTGCCATTGCCCGGTATATATTTGCCCGATACTCCAAACACTGATGTTTGTTCGAATCTATCGTCAGTAAGTATTAAAATATCGAATAAATGTAATTATATCCACGAATAAATTAATATCAAATCGGATGTAATAAATATTTCGGACAGTCATCAAAGCGACTAATTTGATTGTCAACATTCACCGGTGAAAGTCAACAACCACCGATTTCGGTCATTCACAGTAACATGCACATCATTTACATAATAACCTCATCAAGACGATTATTTCATACTTTGCCTAAATAGCATCCGGCATTTCATAAAATAAAAATAATTGTTTTTGTTGGCGATGATCTCGTAAGGCGATAAAGAATCATGCATAGTACAGGTAAGGAAGATATTAACCTCGAAGGAAAAGTGGATGAATACCCCCAGGAACCCTTGACAATGGATCCTTTTATCCCTAACTGGTGATCAACACCCAGTTCTCGTATTTGCATGAAAGGGGTTCGGAGAGTCACCATTCGCTCTTCGGTAGGCTTCAATTCTGTCAACCACTTTGGTACTTTTGTGAGGGACGGGCTTCATGTTTGCGTTTGCGAACGGAATCTTTCCGTTTGTGTGTAACGCTTAAGGTATTCCCGTCTACGCTCTTTGGCTTTTTCAACCTCATTAAGTTTAGGTCTTGGCATCGTTTTTTTCTTGCTTCAACTCTATACCCTTTGAAAACCGTGTTAATCAGTTTGGGACCCTCTTTATTTGTGATATTCACCTGAATTAGTATTGAAAACGATCCAGTTTGAACTGTAGGTCAGAATTTCTGATTCTTAATTAAAGCAATAAAAACAAAAATATCGTTCAAATTATGAAATTCTCTTTTATTCACAACTCAAGAAATATTTATGGGATTTCTCTGGACCCATATCTCAAAAATAAACTCACCAACTTAATGCATAACTAAATTAAAAGTGAAAATAAAGGAAGGAATTCTAAAAAAAATTATCAAACACCAGCGGTCGCCAAAGCAAGGCATAAGCGCTGTTTACTATTACTCTTGATTATTGTAGTTGAAAAGTGAGAACGCCATGAAATCCAAATTAAGACCCATTTTGCTAACGGTTAAAAAATGTAATGTATAGGATGACAAATGTAGCGAACAACAAGACGGGTGTGGGAGGAAATCGAGGTGTGTGTTGTGAAAGATGATTATTCGAAATAATTTTCACGCACTCCAATTTTTTACTTGTTTTCATGGTAACATTTCAAAAGATTATCAAGTTTTATCATATTGGATGCCATTTCAATGAAGATTTAAAAAAGAAATTTATACTTAATGGCATTATATATTTCTAAAGGTATTATATAGCGACCCGTTAAGATGTTTCTTGAAGTGACTGATTTATTAATTTTCAAGCCAATTATGCAAAAAATAAATACATATATTTTATCATCTTCCTCGATCAAATAGGATTTTAATTTAAAATAATAGTATTTTTAATTGATTTGGTAGCCTGAATTTGAAAGTATATGCATAAGAAAAGTATATGCACAACAGAAATTGACATTTTTTCGGACCATAAAAAAAGCTATATTTCAAAATACTATTTTAATGAACGTTTTGTTTATTGTTCATTAGCAATGAATAATCACTACAACCTGATTCTTACGCCGACAACGAATTAATTGTTGTCCCCACTTCTCTACGTAGTAAAGAAGTGGGGAATGGTAATCCGAATTTGAAATATCTGACTTCTTTGAAATTCAATTTCTCGGGAACTATTCAGCCGATTTTGCTCAGATTTTGTATTTTGTCATAAAAATTATATTTTTTAAAATGATGCAGGAAATTGTATACCTTACAATTAAAAATATTTTTAAACTATTATTAAATAAAATAATAATAAATGATATATATTTAATAAAGATTATTTTTTACATGGAATTATCTTTGGACAAACGAATTTTAGAATTGTAGGCAAAAATGTTTCACTCAAAAAGTTTTTTGACATATAGCGAAATACGCAAAAAGTAAAATTAACATTAAAGGGTCAAAACTTTAGACCTCTCTTCTGTGATTTCGTAGCTTAAAATATCGCCTGCACTTATTAATTAGCATCTTTGAAGTCACCCCCTTTAACCATTAAGATTGGGTATTAGAACGTGAAGATCCGATCATTAGATCACAAGTTATTCAGGGTAGTAATTATTTTGCGCACTGTAAATATAGAACAGCAAGGAAATGACTTCTTGCTTTAATATATTTAATACTATGGTGTTCCCATCTACAGAATCATTTACGATTATTTTAAAAATCATCGACTGGCATTCCTCAAGACAAGACCTTTTCTGTGGTAAGACTTTTATCAACATCTAGAACTGGTATTGGGGATACTTCTCTTGTAAGTAAAGTAATGTACTCCAGCAAAAGCCAGTTGTGAGTCAGGGGCAGTTGCTCCGGGTTCCCACATCAGAGGTAGCCCCCAAATAGAATAGAAAGTTTATTTTACGTTTCATTCTTTTATGAATTTTTCTTAATCAAAATATCAGTGCAGTGTAAAATCCGTCAGTTTTATGTTAGCTTCTTCATTAATCTATCGTATGAACACTATCTACAATTCCTAAATCCATGACTTTCTAGGGAAGAATTCGGCTAAATTTGTCCAATCAGAAGCTTGTATTTTTACATATCGCAAAATGTGATGCGTTTACAAAAATACAAACTTCTGATTTGCTTAATTGAATCAACGTCACTGCGTAAATTTAGCTGAATTCCGGCCTAATGTCAACAAGGATATGAATTTTTCACAGGTAGATGACAAAGTTAACAATCAGAAAACTGCATTTGGCATGATGGGCATAGAATTGTCAGAAAATCAGTAAAACGGACAGAACGATATTTCGTCTAACCATTGGAGGGGAAGGGACTTTATAGCTATTTGTGGTTGTAGTCAATTTTCTTGTTATCTATAATGCAGTGAAAATTTAAGTATCTCCATAAAGTTTGGTTCTTCATTACTGAAGTAGTGAAGCAGGGAAGCCCCCAAAGAAGTTTTTACCCCTGACCCCAATTAGGCTAAGTCGGGCCCTGGTCACGGGGGTCATTGAGGTTCATTCCGATTGATTCATTCGATTTGATTCATTTCGAGACGCTACGGCATGACTGTTACATTTTGATCTGTTTTAACCTCAATCTAGACCTGTGTTAACCTTTCCTTCCAAGCTTCAAAGACAAGCCATCGATCTATACCTGGGTCGTTTACAAACCGCCACTGCATGGGTTTGAACTCCATTAATGTACAAAGACAGTTCCTTTGACTAGTTTAAGTATTACATACATTCCAATAAAAGTTACTTAGGTTTGTGTCTTATCAAATCGTATAAAAAATTAAACATCAATTGAAAAATTGAATTTTCAAATTGAAATGTAATTCCCGTTAACTTCCATGTAGGTGAAGAACAGTCTACCAATAAGCAAGACGGGCCAGATGTTCCGAGTCCATACTGTCCAACCGTAGATGGGAAGGAACAAATATTCTTTCATCATCCGTCCAACTGCTCCGAATACTACATGTGTGCTCACGGACGCGCCTTCAAATTCGCCTGCCCAGCGAGACTTCATTTTAATCTTAAAGGGAAATGTTGTGATTATGAATGGCTAGCTCAATGCCCAACTGGTAAAAACAATTCTTTTTTTTTTATGTTTTCAATAGTAGCAAAAGAAAGTGCAAAATGCATTCTTACTTGATGGTTATTTATTTCCCTTCAGTTGGAAACATTCTATTATTTTAGATATCAGCGGTAAATCTTGTAATCTATTTTTGTCGTATAATGGCCGAAATAGTGGTGAGAGATTAGCACCAATTTGTTGTGAAATCTTTTAGCCACAAAATGATACACATATTATATGTATACAGGTTCTAAAATTAATAAAATCGGACAGTGAGTAATCAGCAAGATGCAACTGTTTTGCCCCTTTTACATGCTGTTCGTCTTAATTCCGAATAGTTGACTTAAAAATCCTTTAATAGAGTAGTATTACTAGAAAATAAGCACTCTAGTGTTCTCTTTCTGTGTGTTTATTACTTCCCAACATGGACGCTTCACTACCGAGGTATACACAGAGCCTTGTAAAAACATTTCGGTTTTTTCACAATAATTAATCCAAAACTATTTTATTTTGTTTAACTCGAGGAAGCATTCACGCTCTTTTCTTCATTATCACATGGAGAAGGGGAAGAGCAGCTTCTAATGGCAACAAGTACCCTGGGGCAGAAGACTGAATTTGCGCCATTACCTGCTGGCCTTAGCTGAAGTTATGAAAATCAGAATCGAACCTCTGAATGGAGAAACAACCAGAGATTAAAAAGGAATTTGGTCTGGCTGATAAAATGAAGATCATTTCCCAATCAGTGGAGTATTCATCTCTAAGACTTTGTGTCAGCCCAATTGAGGGCTTACCTGGAGTTCACTTTCACACTGAATTTCTGTCCCACACAAACAAAAACTCAGATGTCACTGAATACTTAAGACAGCTGGCTCTCGAGGTCGTAAATGGTATTCCGAGTGAAGCCATTTTAATATACACGGATGAGTTGAATCACACAGGGAGCGGTACCTTTATAGAGAATCTCTCTGTCCGGCTTTTTCAAGACGCAACCCAGATAACTGTTCAGTCCTCGGAAGTGAATTAATTGCTATAGACAAGGGATTAAAGGCCTTTCTCCATAGTACAGACTCTAGCGATGTATGTATCCTTACTGATAGCTGAAGCTCCCTTCAACACTTGCAGGATTGGAGTCGTGTGGATGACCTTTTAGCATTCAAATTATCAATAAGCTTAAAATTATAGAAAAATATAGGGATGTCCACGTTCAATGGATCCCCTCCCATGTTAACGTCCCTGGAAATGAAGTCGCAGATAACTTAACAAAAAGAGGCTGCTCTGAGTTGGCGACCATTGATTATGCTCTTCAAGAGACTTTCTCTTTAATAAAATATAAAGATACGAAAGCCTGGCTGGCCCCTCCCGGGATTAGTAGGAAATTTCCAGGGGGCTCTTTGGAGTTCAAAGGAGACAGAAAAAACATCAAAGGGCAGTCTCGAGACTTATAAGTGGGCACCTGAAATACATGACTTTTGTATCCGGCCAAAAGGTCTACCAGACTTGCACGAAGTGTTACCGGCTTCCCCTGGACTTATCCTCGATTGTCTGGGGTTAGCTCAGGAAGATGTACATGCAAGTCCACTTCTGATGCTGGACTTTGCTAGGGTAAACGGTCTCATGGATCTGATCTAGCTGTAGCTAGATCCTGAAGGCCTGAAGGATTGGACTCAACAACAATGCCTTTTTCTATCTCGAACCAGGGGCCCTATCACCAGATCACGGAATCTAATTCCGATCGAAATGAAGCTCTCGTGACGTCATAAATCCGTGAATGTCAGTTAGGCCGTATTACGAGCTCTTGATTCCGATCGGAACTAAATTCCAATGCGAAATAATTACGAATCCGGCAGGTTTAAGACTAAGCGAAATCTAGATTCCGATAAGAGTTTGTTTATTTTAGTGATCAAAATGGCGCTGTTTTCTGTCAGTACTACCGATTAAAGTTTATTACCGATAAAAGCAATCTTAAAAAAAATGATTTAGTAGTTTTTCTGATAATTTTATAATTTTATTGATAATTTGATAATTTTAAGTTAATTTTATTTAAAATAGGCTATTTTTATATCTTTCATAAAAATAATTGTATTTCGATGCTTAAACTGCGGCTTATTTTGTTTTACGGATTGAGTTAAAAAGAAGAGTTTTTCGTTATATTCAGAAAGATGTACTTTATCCATTTCATAATTTTATAACCGTCGTCGAGCAGCTGACCTAATTTTGTGTTTACGACTATACTGATGTTCATCAACTCCGTAGTCTTGTAATTTTAAATCCAATTCAGAAGACAAGGAGAGTCTTGTAACAAGTATTGAGTGAAATTTACCTCCGTGGGGGACTTTTTGATGGAATTAACCCTCATTTCCGTTACATGGGGAGGAAAACCACGAAAACATCCCACGGTTAGCTTGACCTCAAAGAGACTCCAGATCTTCTGAGCCACAACGGCAAGGCCTGACTGATACTAAAAAATGATTGCTTATAAAAAAATAATTTCATTGAGATAATGTTGAACATTTAGTTGAAATTCTATTATCGCCAATCAATCTGAAAAACATTTTCGTGGTTTTTCCTTGTGAATAACGCAAAATTTGATAAATTTACTTTCAACTTAATCATGGTTAAAATAAATTATTTTTATAACTTTTTTAAACATTGTTTTCCGCCGATACTTAAATTGCGAGTTACTTTGATTTTGGGGATGAGTTAAAAATATAAATACAAAAAATATAAAGAGCATCACGTTATATTCACAAATACAATTAGCTATCTGTCAAAGATACAGCAAAATGATTCATTATATAAAAAAATTCATTACGGTTCCTGAACATTAAGCGTCAAGCAATCTGAGAGATATTTTCGTGATTTCCCTTTACGTGTAACGCAAAATATGATTGTTTTCTTTTAAGAAAAAAATGATAAAATAAAAATTTTGAAAAAAACATTCATAAAGGCAGCAATGCTTAAATATTTACATACATTATGAGTTATTTTATATTTCTTCCTTGTTAAAACAAAACAAAATGAAGAGCATTTGATTGAGAGCAATTCATTAGCAGGGTAGATAGTCTTTTGCGGACATAAAGAAATGATTTGGCAGATTTCTTGATAATAAATGCTACGAATAATTATTTTGATGAAAAAGATTTTTTATTTTAATTCTCATAGGAAAATTTAACAAATTTACGGTTACATGACTTATATTTTTTTAAAAAATGTGTCATATAAAGCATTTTTAATTATAACAATCGATTTTAAAACAATAATAGTAAACTAATAAAATTCAAAGGGTTTTAGTTTTTAACTCGTTCTGTTAAATCATATATTTAAATATAAAAAAATGCTAATATATATGTCGGTAAGGGCTCCTTTATTTAAATCTGTATTGTTTTCTAGGTATTCCACAGTCATTGTTTGCTGGCGAATATTAATTTTTGTACGTGAAGCCATTTGAAAATACTACGTTGTAATTTTACTCTACACTACTCCCTATACTTCAAATAAACACACACTTGGCTTAGAACACACAAAATTGTTGAAAATGTATGAATTTTTAGACTTTCAGTTCTAAGTTAATGCGATTTTAGCTCGCATAGAAGAGGAGAAAACAAACATATCGTTGCCAGATTAATAAATTAGAATTATAGTAATTTTCTAATTGGTCAAAATTGGTCCCGCCTACAAACTTCAATTTCACCGGAATCGTACGAAATGGCGATTTTGATTCTGGATTCCGATATGCTCATCATGTTATGGCAAAGTTGGTTTTACGAAATTGGCAATCCGATGAAAGCTAGTTTCCGAGCGGAATAAATTTCGGTGAGTTGGTAATAAGGCCTCAGGAAGGCGCAACTTAACAAAGAAACACAATTTTTATTCTCCCAATTAAATGAAGTCAATTCATAATATTTAGTGTGACAAATACTATCTATCTCACATCTTTAATGTAAAAATCCACCCATGAGTGGATACGAAAATCAAGATTAAAACCACCTTCATTTTCGCACGTCTCGAGTCTACATTCTCATCAAAAGAAGTGACAACTTCAAGGACAAAACCCGGTCAAATCGAAGACTGTGGAATTTTTTTATAGCACCTACCCACTAAAGAAAAGGATGGAAAAACGTCTGTTGCTGTGTGACGATGTCACCATTTTATTTTGATGCTGACGGTAAACAGCTGATTCAAACAGCTTATATTTGACTCTTCATATTCAAGTTTTGTACCCGACCCAAAATACAAAGGCGAGCATCCATCTTCGGAACAGCCACATTCTATGTAAGAAGAAAAGTGAGTACACTCCTCATTCTTGAAGCTACAAAGAAGATTGAGGTTTCTATCGGAAACGAGTTATGTGGCATCACCTATCACTCGTTGCCTTGAATCTAGCTATCTTTTTCGTAACAACAAGATTAAAATCTAACTCGGCTAAAACGGTTGATTAACCTGACGGAAATTGAACTCAAACGCGACATCCGTCTACCACTGAGGATGTCTTGCATCAGCACTGTGGTGGCTGAACGTAAAATATTCAAATAAACTGCAGTTTATTTGAATATTTGACGATAAGCATGCCTATCGCTAGAATTCGAGCCTATGGCTGAACTCTTGAACATTCATGTGTGTCTTGCGTCAGCACTGTGGTGGCTGAACAACAAATATTCAAATAAACTGCCTATCGCTGGAATTCGAGCCTATGACTGAATAACTCTTGAACATTGTGTGTGACTAAACTCTCAAACTCAGACCATCGCTTAAATGTTCGCTAAATGAAACAAACGTTGAACATTTTAAAATGAACTATCAAAATGCCTGGAAATTGATGACCAGCTGAACAATGCCCGGAAATTATAGTTTGAAAATGGTGTGTCGACGAAAGAAGAACCTATTTTGAAAACTTTGCACCAATCTCACCCATGAATGCTTTCAATATTTTCTTCTTAAAGAAAGTAAAAGATAATAATAAATAAACTTTTAAATCTGACTTGAAAATAAGAAAGACAGTACTATAGGGATACTTTTACATTTCGTAAATGTGCTGCCGTTCATGAAAATAATATAATATGTTAAATGATTTCTATCAAATGAGCCCAGTCAAATTAGATTTTTTTTCTAAAAAAAATAGCCGTGTTTCAAATTATTTTCCAAAAGTTGGAAATGATTTTATGTCACTTTGGGCATATCAAATAAGAATTATATGATTTTGTGACGGTTTCTAAAGTGAGATAAACGTTTGAGAGCCAAAAAAACCACGACATTTTTAGCACTTTTTAGCTCTTGCTTTATAAATAGGTGACTGTGTGCAAAAAATTACAAACTTCCTAAAACCGTAAGAAATATAAAAAAAACTTCCGATGTACGTTTATGAGGCGATGCTTCACGCATAATTTTACCTTTTAATTGAGTTTTCTGTAATTGATAACTTCTAAACAATCGTGAGCCGTCACTAAATTTGAAAAACTTAATATCACAACATAGGTAAAGCGCAAGGATTGCCAAATTTTGAATGTTATACCTTATTTAGGTGTCTAAAATATCATCGTTTATTATTTTTTGAATAGCTTGCATGTATGCTCCAAATTCGTTTGTTGTTTGCTTCGTTGAAAAATTAAACTGAAAGAACATATATTATATTGCAAATATTACAAGTATAATAATATTGTATGGCGCTCTTTATCAAGTTTATATAGGGGAGAGAAAAAAAGTGTATTAACCCGGAAGACTCCCGACACATTTCATCCTCTAGCGCCACCTGTGCTTAGATTTATATGATTATCCATCCATAACTTCTAAAGGGTTTATCACATAGAATATTTTATTGAATGCAAAATTAAAGATCAGTAAATTCTGCTTCGAACGATATATTTACATATTAAATTTCGTTTACTGGTTTCGTTAAAATCAATCATCCAATAAGAGTAAAATATTTTGTTTTACTTGAAAAAACGTTACGTTTACTTTTAAACGGTGGTAATCCGAAAATGCCCATTCAAATGAAAAATAAAAGTTACGAAAATTAAAAACCATTTAAATCTGCATTCAGGGAGTACATAATTTTAACATATTGTTTATTCCTACACATAGATGCATGCTAGAGGAACGAAAAAAAAAAAATTTGAAAAAAAGACGCATTGCTCATTTTTGCGGTCTTTATTCGAAAAATAAAATGCATTTATTATTTGCTCCTCTCACAAAATCTGACTTTTTTTAAGGAATTATGGCCCACTTCTGTAAACCAACGAATTTGCATTTATTAATTTATTTGAGTTTCAACTGTTACTAAAATTGAGTGTCGGTGTTTTGTCAAGCATGTATTGAAAAGTTTACTGAAATCTATATAAGTTGGTGAAAGAGAAGCAACTGCTGCTCAGTCAAGGATATTTTAAGAGAAAGGTGGTTCATAGAGAAAGAGAAGCAAACAAGAAATTGAGACAAGGAACAACAATGAATACTGTTAGAGAAAATTGTTAGGAAAGGCGTGTTTTACGCAGCGCTATAGTAGATCGAACAGAGAATGAACATCATCGTTCCAGTCACAGAAATTTCTTTTAAATTTACGTTATTTTATTTGTTGACAGTCGAAATTTTGTATTGTAGGGTATAAATTTTTTACATCAATTTACAGAATGTAATTTTACAGGGCAATATAAAAAATTTCACCAAAATCGCTCAAATAATTCCTCAGGAAACGAATTTTTAAAAAGTCGTATTTTTAAAATTTAATTTCTCAGAAACTATTTGACCGATATCGTTCAAATTTTGCATTTTTCCTCATAAAATCGCATTCTTAAGAACGGTGTAGAAAATTGTATACTTACTATTCAAAAAAATTTTTAACTCATCTTTAAAAAAAATTAAAAATAATAAATATTTACTAAATTTTTTTTGTGTGCATGGAATTGTCTTTGGATAAAACTTTGAACCCTATCCTGATCAAACTATTGAGGCCATATTTCCCACATTTCCACTGTATTTTGGGGCCAGAAATTTGAATCCGTCGAAATCAAGTTTATTCTGAGAAATTACGTTTCTGAGTCTGATTTCGTAACTTAAAATATCGTCTGTACTCATTAATTAGCATATTTGTGGTGATTCTTCAAATAATAAAGATTGTGTCCTAGAATGTCAAGATCCAATTTTTATGTCAAAAGTTATTCGGGGTGGTCCGTTATTATTTATTTATTTATTAATTTTTTTGTTTATTTTCCTATTTTTTGCAACTATACTCTTTTTTTTTGTTATAACTTTTGCACCTAACATATTTTATTCTAAGTGGCATTTACGGTTCACGGGCGTTTATGAATAGGTACAGAATTTTTTTTTAGGGGAAGTAAAAACATTTTGCCCATATAGGATTCCGTCCAAACCAGTTAACAGAGGGATAGACCGTTCGCCTTCCAATCAGGTGAACTGGTTTCTAATCCCAGCGAACTAATCCCAGCCGGGGGCGGAATTCGCATCGAATAGGTCGATGCGATTTCCGCCCCCGGCTAGCGCCGACCACAGTGCTGATGTCAAATATCTTCAGTGGAAGACGGATCACGGGTTCCCTTGTCGTCAAACTAGCAGCCGGGAGGTTTTAATCTCCATGTAACGCAAATGCGGATTAGTTCTATCAAAAAGTCCTTCATTAAGTCAAATTTCTCTCAATACTTGATCCAGGAGTTCTCTTTGTCTTCTGGATCGGGGTCAAAATTATAAGGCTACGGAGTCTAACATTACAGTGGTACACCCAAAATTGGATCTGCTGTTCAACGAGGGTTAGAAAAAAAAGCAGTTAATCAAGTATCATTGATATTTTGTTTTATGTGAAATTTTCCGCATGATGCACGCCTTTTAGATGCTAAAAAGGCAAAAAGAAAGTTCTCTCAGTGAAATTCACTTCTCCCTCTTAATTTCATTTTTGAGAGCACTGGAGACAAAACAGTGGCAGTATTTTTTCCACTGTAGAGTGATTTTTCTTTTTATAAAAAAATTTACTCTTTTGATTAAATATTAAAAAAAATTAAATTTTGTTTTATTTTTCTTTTTTAGGTAACGGAGAAAAGAAGCAAAGATATTTGTAAAGAGCATCGAAATGCTACCGGAGTGGATATCAATTTCGATTATTTCTTAAATTTAATGAGTTGTAAATAAATATTCAAAAATATAACTATTTTCATCCTTTTAATTGTATGTGTATTTTTAAGTTTTTGGCCTCATTTCTTTAATCTTAATAACAATATTAAGTTATAATAACTAATTTTATACATTATACTTAAATGATCATTTACATTCTATCCATTACTAAAACAATAAAAACATCAACCCCTCTATAATCTGTACTGCAACTTTTAACAGCCCAACCCCACAATTGCTTCAATCATTGTTTTGTTCCATGATGATAAACAAATCCCTAAATAAGATAAATTTTTAATTGGATCAACCCTAAAATGTTTTATTGTAATTAATATTTATTTGACTTTGTTAATTCAATTCCTGATTCATTTGAGATTAACCCAATCACTTTGCGCCATACTTTATCTAAGATTTTGTTTCGGAAATTCCTCTTTAATTTTTGGTTACCAACAAAACTCGTTACATTTTTTTCTCCCAAAAAGATTTATTAAAAATAGTGCGAAAGGTTTATTCCTGATAATAATGTTTTATAATTTAATAATAATTTTAATTGAACATGTTGACTGTACACAGTTTCACACAACGCTTGATGATATAACTCAAACACTTTATTTTTTAAATGAATATAAAATATACACATTACTTACTCTTTTAATAATTGTAAAACGGTTAACAAGTTTAGATGATTATTTAAATATCTTTATCATGTAGTCAGTATGTCTTTAGCATCAATTAATTGAGAATATAACTAAGATCAGAACCATGATAATAGCATATGCTATTGTATATAGAATATTATATATAGAATTTTTTAGTATTCTATATAGAATACTGAGAAAGGATGATAAATGGCAGCTATATATACCTTTGAATTAAGAATGACAACCAAATAAGTTGTGGGAGAAAGAGTATTATATATATATATATANTGTTTTTATTTTAGTATTATATATATATATATATATATATATATATTGATAGATAAAGTTCCACCCTGATTATGCGTCACATAGTAGTCAAGTACTTAGATATGCGGCAATTTTGTTTTACTAGTTTTATGTTTTTTTACTTCTTTTTTAAAATTAATTTTCAAATTAATAATTCAAATTAAATTCAAATTAATTTTTCTTACCATATCACATATCACTCTGTTTCCAACCATGGACAGGACGGGGTGCTTGACTTCCGCACTACAGTATCTATATTTTTTTTCTTCTGTAATATCATTGTATTTTTAAAAATGTAAGAGTGAAATGTATAATATAAAAACATTTACAGCTCTTTTAATGAAAGATTTAGTATTTTAAGACTAGGTACCGAGTGTTGTGCCACGCCTTCCCTTAAATAAATATTGAATGGATAACTATACAGCTTTTCCAAAAAGTACGCTATTTGTGAAATAAAGTTGTTCTCGCATTTTCTAAGATAGAATTGATTGCTTCGTAGATTCTTCTTCTAATGAATATGTAGCGAAGTATAAGAATCTAAATTCTACTTCTTTAGAAAGAAGGATTCTTTTCGTTTGATATATTATTTTACAGCTATTATTTATTTCATATCACAGTTGCTTATGCTTATTATGACTGTCATTCATACATATTTTCAGAATCCTTGCAAAAGATGAAGACAAATACTATATACACCAGGGGTTAAAAACAAGTGAAAAAAAAAAGTTTCATTGGCCTATTATTATTGCAGTCGCTTTAAGTGCGAATTTAAATCATTCAAAATCAGTAATTTTGTGTGGGGAGACTGGAAAGCATTTACTTTATATGCTAAGAACTGCATTTAAGTCTCGTCTCAAAATAGATTCTTTTTAACCCTCTTCTTGCTTTCAATTGGCCAGAAATCCCTACTATATTTACATAATTAAGAGATACTACCTTAAGTTATTCTTTCGTAACCTCAAGTATATATTTTTGTATTTTCAGAAGTATATATTTATCAACCTAAGGTGCGACATTTTACACTTCAGGCTTTTATAGCTCAACCGAAAGCTGTTTTTATCTTTACATTTTTTCAATAGTAGAGATCTTCATTTATCAACCCGAAGTTTTAAATATTACACCTTTGGCAGTAATTGCTCTCTGATTGTTCAGCTATAAAAGAAAGTTTCATAATTCTCTTCTGTAATTTCAATAGATTGAATTAAATCATCTTGAAATGACACTTATCCGAAATCTTTGATTAAAAGAATTATTTGTGGGAACTCATATTTTCATAAGATAGTTGTCTAAGGTGCTTGAATTTTTAAAGCTATAAAACTGCAAATTTAAATAATTAGTCAGATGAAAATTTAAAAATATTTCTTTTCTTTCTTTTTTTTTTTTTTACAAACCAACGAAATATTTTAAATACTGATTCCGTCTACCATTTGAAACTTGAAATAATTGAAAAAAATATGAATTAGTAAAAAAGTCATATTTACAATAATAGTGGCGGGTTTTAAAATATTAGAAATTGTTTTTTTTTTTTTCACGATTTAAATTAACTGGATGAAACTAATTTTCTTTTTTAGATAAATGGCACTCCACTTCTGCCATTTCTATTCAATCCTCTTAGCTAAAAAGCATGACAGGTACCACAGCCACAAAATGAAATGCACTGAAGAAAGTACTACCATTAACAACATTTACAGAAATTCAAATATATAATTCCAATCCTGTTATGAAATTTGAACACTTTTTATTTTCCTATACATCTTTCATTATGGTACTTGTAAGTTTGATAATTAGATTTTCTTTCTTTTTTTTCTCACAAATCTTTAAACTCAATAAACCATATTTTTAAATTTCTTGTCAAACTTCATGAAACTAATAGCTTTTTCATAAATTTTTGACTCTGATTCTGAAAAGGACTTCCGTTATTGTCAATCACATCAGAGTTCCTTAAAAATTAGTTATTTTAATATTTTTTTAATCAATGTAATCAAGAATCAACAATCGTTTAATAACATAAAATTTTAAAGTTATGTACTAATTTTTATGCATTTTTTACACTCAATCGAATAAAACTAATCGCAAGCTGATAAGGAGCATTTGTTTTAAAGTTGTGAGCAATTTTATGCCGGGAAAACATCTAAGAGAGAATGATTTGAAATAATGCTTTTAATAGAAGTTGAGTAAAATATTTCCTATGTAACTTATAATACCGATATACCGATGAGAATAAAACTAATTGTTAGTTGCTACAAACATTTGTTTAAATATAAAAACATATCTCATAGG